TTCAACCCATGCAAACATTCATCCCAAGCATGCCCATGTATACATATATAAAGGTTAAGTATGTGACGATCACTTCTCGGAGTTTCGCTGGGGTCTCTCACAATAATACGTGCACGTGTGATAGTAGGCAACCAAATCCAAAATCTGATTCATAGCACATACCTGTCATCACATCAACGAGCCAAATCAACAGTCCACACACTACACGGAGTCAACCCCAACCACCTTCGACACTCATACCCCTCGCTTTAGTCATGCAAGCCTTAAAACCCCCTGTCCAACCAACCTTAATTAAATACTCAGTACCTTTGTTAAATGGTCATTCAAAAGAAGTCCAGGTGAAACCTTAATAAAACAACGAAAATCACCTGGGCTAAAACCTTTTAGGTTGAGTGTAGAGGGAGAGTTGAAATTGAGTCGTAGACCGTCAAATCGGCAACCGGCCTGTTATCAGTGATAACAGATAATGATCCTCAAGGGATCAAGTTGTATATGATCCTGATCTTGAATCAAAAGATCAAAAGAACCTGTAACACATGACAGACCAATTCCGAAGCTAAGAATACAATTCCATAATACATCCTTTCTCAAAATCTCCTTATAAGTTAAACCTAAGTCTACTTTTATACCAAATGCTTAAGCTAAAGGTAAATCAACTACAGACTCTCACCTATTCTGGGTGGATCGCCTGAATCACCACCTGTCAAAATATAATCTATCTCCTCTAAACCAAGGAAATTTGYCAGCGCTTCCCGTAGGAAAATTGTCTTTCCAGAATTTATATAAGTCTAAATATGAAAAATATAAATAAATTCTAACTCTGGAAAGCCAAATCTTGTCCAACCCCCTGAGTTAGTAGAAATTTGGGCAACACTCCCTTTAGAAAAGGAGACTTTCTAGATTTATACTAAGTCAGATATAAAGCAGGAGATAATCTCTAACTCCTGGAAAGTCAAATTATGTCTAACTCTCTGAATTAGTAGAAATTTGGGCAGCACTCCCTTTAAAAAAAGAGACTTCCCAGATTTATACTAAGTCAGATACAAAAACAGAAATGACCTGTAACTCTGGATAATCAAATTCTGTCTAACTTCCTGAAAATAGCAGAAATTTGGGTAGCACTCCCTCTAAAAAGGGAGACTTCCCAGATTTATACTAAGTCAGATATATGGAAAAGACAAGCTGAATTCTGACAAGTCAAAAGTTTAACTAACTTCTTGGTTTTGTAGAAATTTCGGCAGCGCTTCCCGTAGGAAAAGTAGCTTGAGAAGATTTATACAAGGCCAAGCATAAGAAAAAGATATCAGAAAATGCAGGAAATGACCTAAGTAAAAAAAAAGTTATTACAGAAAAAACAGGAATTGACACTAACTCCTATGGCTCTAGCACGTGGCGAGCAACTACAGCAACTACCTATAGTAATGAAAYTTRAACAAACTRGYCATCCCATCCAGTCACATGCAAATCAAACCACTAATGTAAGTACTCTCACCACTCCAAGTTTATTCCATATAGATAGTTCATGAACCTTCAAGTTCTTGAATCCTTATACCCATCTTACATAAGACATAAAGTTGGACCATTCGCCATGGAAACAATGCCCAACGTGCCTCTAAGATATACACGAACAGGTTGCACAACTACTTCTCTCTTCTTTTGGGCAGATGACTAGGCCATTCGCCATGGAAACAATGCCTAGCCGCCCTGAGCTGTTTAATATCCAAAATTTAGTATTTCTCTGACTTTGTTTTCAAAAGAAAAAACAAATATGGGCAGGGGACTGAACCATTCACAGTAGAAACAATGTTCAGCTTGCCCAAAGTATTTCCATTTATAATTTGTATTTTCCCTTTTTCTCTTCTTAATGATATGGCTTAACGCTGGACCATTCACAGTAGAAACAATGCCCAACTGCCAGTTCACATGCAAGTATACGTAAAATATTTTCCTTTATACTTAGTTTAAATTATGTGCGTGGTTTTCAGGCTAAACCATTCACCATGGAAATAATGCTTAGCCTTAGACCAAAAATCCTCCCTAAAAAATAAACAAGAATTTAAACCCTTCAATCAGATAAACCCTCATAGTTAACTAAGGTAACCAGGTCATTCACAGTAGAAACAATGCCTGGTTCCCCAGAGACAATCAAATAAACACAGCGACCAGGCCATTCACAGTAGAAGCAATGCCTGGTCCTTCAGAAAAACAGCCAAATAAACATAGCCCTGAGCCATTCACAGTAGAAACAATGCTCAGGCTTTGGTTGACCCGGTCAAACACATGCAGTCTACCTTCCTCCCACCTTCCCCCCAATTCATCCTTAGTCTGCTTTCAATCAGAACAAAGTAGAAACTTAGGCTTTACTCTCACACATTTTTTTTCCAGTTAGTCCAATTAGGTCCTGAAGAGAAAGCAAAAACCATAGGGACAATCGCATGGATACAATAATCATACTACAGGGGGATAAACAAAACAGGGGTGGTAGTAGGTTGTACAGATGAAAAGGTATAGACCTGATGGTTCCCTGCCTCCAGAACCTCGCCTAGGTTCCGGCAGAGCTCCCGCAATCGGTGGGGCGAACCTCCCACAGAGGCCTTAGCGCGGACCTACGGGTTGCAATCCCGCCTGCCGCCTTCCTCTCGTACCCAATAGAGTAGACTTAGATTTTAGAAAGGCAGAAAGAGATAGGTTTGAGACTCTCAGATCCAAGAGTGGTACTCTCAGTCTCGCAAGAGAGGGCCTTGTTGCCTTGATGCGCCTGAGGGCCCCCGCAATGGCAGCCAATTAGTATCAGCTTGACCAAAGTTCCGGTTCAAAATGTTGAAGTCAAACCCTCTACTAACCCTTTTTAAATCGCAGCACTAGCTTCCCTCCTCGTCCAGTCCGGCCACCTCTCCAAGCCTCGCCCGATCGCGGCCGTTTATTAGCGTGTAACGGTCCTTAGTCATAGCAGCAATTCATACGCAGTCCCTTGGCGCAACATCAATATACGACAGTGACCAGGTAGCAACAGCTGTGGTTCTGCCACAAACGCAGCGACATATGGCAACAGCCAGCGGTAACAGCAGTAACCCAGCGGCAGATATCGTCGGTCACAGCTTTAGCCAACAGCAATAACTGCAGTCCAACAACAAAAGCCGTGGTTTTCAGCAGTGGCAATCTGTGCACAACTTGCGATGGTCCTGGAGCAGTAGTCTATGCACGGCTATGTAACCCAACAACCAACTGCAACAGCAACAGTCCGTGCGCAGTCTGCCGTAACAGCCAACAGCCAGTCCGCAGTTCACAGTTTTGTAGTCCACAGTCCACAGTTCTGTAACCCACAGTCCGTTTGGCTCATCCCGCCTGTAGCATTCCCCTTCCCCGTTTCAACAGCAACTTCGCAGCATACTCTTGCACGACCCACCGTCTGTAGTCACTCCACTTTGACTAACAGTACAAGCGGAGTCCCAATCTCAACTGTAGTACCGGGCGGACCACTTTTAAACCCAACCTGGCGCCTCTCCCCATCCTTCGAAGTAGCCGGCCAGTATTCCCGCTAGACACACATTCTAAAGCCAAGTAGCCCTGCTGCACGAGCCTTGCTAAGCGGGAGTGAAGTCGTTGACCATGAGCCGGGCCCGGATACACACCAACTGAATCCTGGTGACGACAACAACTGTAGCTGCTGTAAGTACAAACGTCCAGGTGAGCTCGTAAAGGTCAATATGGCGGGGTCACAGTCACGAATCTCATTTCACCACTCGTGACGCGAGCAACTGAGGGTGTGTTTCCCTGCTGAAACTCGGGTAGACATACTACCCTACACCGTGCCCCCTTCGAGTCGCTCAGCACCGACCCTAGCGTAGCCTGACTCCCAGTTCACTTGGCCTCTCTGACTTTCTGTGGTAGGTGTTTCGCGCCCGGCCCCGTCGCTCAGCCTCGAGCTCCCTACTGTGTCTTGGTAGGCACCTGCACCTGGTCGCTCGTACGACCAGGTTCACTCGCTGTCATGGTGTGAATACCTCGGCCTGAGAGAGCCCCTTAACAAGCGTTTTGGAGAGAGAGAGTTGCGGTGGCCACCAGGTAAGTTTCCAACCCCGYTGTTCCTTCGCGCCGCTCTTGGCAGTAGGTTATACGAAGTTGAATGAATCTGCCCCTAAACACGGGTAGATTCATTCCATACTCATATACTAGCCTACCATCCCCCCTAGGCGCAACTCAAAACAACTATACCTCCTACCCTACTGACTATTGTGCCAATTCACCCGCAGATTCCAAATCGCCTAACCCCAAACCCCCAAAATCACCCTTTGAATGACTAAATTCGGTTCAGAAATGACCGACCCAATCTGTTTTAACTCAGACTTCTCCTTCTCGTCGCCATCCCCGACTACTCGGCGCAGTCTGATCTTTTACTAACTCTCTATCTACTATCCCAATGCTGAAATTAGCAGTACTATCTGATTCGCTCGGGGTCAAAACCCAGGGATATCATCTTTCCTTCGTCGAATCCGATCGGAAACGAGCGAGATATTCATTTCTTCGTCTCTTCCTCCCTCACCTCTGCCATAGCCTCCGCGCAGTCCTTTCTCCTTCTAACACTAATTCTACTCACTCTCTCCTACAACTAACCTCTCTATGTGATTCGCCCGGCCTAAAAGCATCAAACTAGCATCTTCCCCCGCTTAATTCCGCCAAGGATAGGGTGTGGAAGACGTACTTCCTCTCCGCCATGACCAACTTCTGCCATTTCTCTTGCTGCACGTATCTGGCGCGAAATCGCGCCGGGTTCACCCCTTCGATGCTCTGCTCTACTCCCCGTTCGTGCCCCTGCGCTGGACCTTCAGGCTGGCCCGCTGTCCAGTCAGCCTACTGCTCTACCTCGTCTCCACTTCGCCACACCGCCTCAACACTCCGCCCGCTGTTGCACAACACTGTCCGGCATGCCCGTTGCTCCGCCTCGCTCTCACGACACCCGTCCTTCCTCTGCAGTGCAGCGCAGCGCAGCACTATCTGGCCAGCCCGCGGAGAACCCTCGGGAGGATCCGACTTTTAGCCGGTTCGATTAGTCTTTCGCCCCTATACCCAGTTCCTACGGGCGGTTCTGCCCATCCGTGTACTGCCAGCCTCCTCCTCGCCGGCCTCTACCCCGCTCCGTTTCTACACGTACCCGACGCAGGAACCCATCCGGGTTCGTTCGTACTGCACTACACTCGTACTCCGCTCTTCCCTCCTACCGTAGCCTGTCCATCGGCCCTTGGTACTCACTGTGGCCCGCGGTGCTTCCACCAGTTCTACACCCGGGTAGTGATTCAGTCCTCCCTGTAGTGTAGCGGTGCCTCCGGGCGCCCCTGCTTTACTATAGCGCGCTAAGTCTAACACCACAAGGAGTAGTGATCNCAGCCCGCGGAGAACCCTCGAGAGGGTCTGGCTTTCAGCCGGTTCGATTAGTCTTTCGCCCCTATACCCTGTTCCTACGGGCGGTTCTGCCCATCCGTGTACTGCGAGCCTCCTCCTCGCCGGCCTCTACCCCGCTCCGTTTCTACACGTACCCGACGCAAGAACCCATCCGGGTTCGTTCGTACTACACTACACTCGTACTCCGCTCTTACCTCCTACCGTAGCCTGTCCATCGGCCCTTGGTACTCACTGTGGCCCGCGGTGCTTCCACCAGTTCTACACCCGAGTAGTGATTCAGTCCTCCCTGTAGTGTAGCGGTGCCTCCGGGCGCCCCTGCTTTACTATAGCGCGCTAAGTCTAACACCACAAGGAGTAGTGATCGATGCTCCCTTCTGGTGCCGCCCGTCGCTGCGTAGTCCGACACGGTGAGAAAGCRGCCCCTGACAGCTCCAGCTATCCTTCGGGAAACTCCGGAGGAGGCTGGCTACTAGGCGGTTCAATTAGCCTTTACCTCTAAACCCCAAAGTCCGACGAATGATCTGCGCATCAGCCGTGCCTTGCTTCTGTTGGTGCCAACTCCAGCCCACTGCGCACGCACCCGGCCCGGTCGGCATCCGGGTTCATTCCCGGATTTTACTACGTCATCCCTACGCAGTGGCCGCACGAACCTTTCCCGCGCCATTCCTACCTTAACAGATGTCCTGAAGGGCCTCAATTGAGGACAGCGCCCCGGCATAACTACGAAAACAGTTTGTAATTGCACTTCAGGCGACCCCGCAAATACAACACCTCCACGCGCTCCTACCGCAATCCCGCGTCCCAAAACTGGACGCGATAGAAAAGGGACCCAGAACAATAGATAAAAGGGAAATAAAATAAAATAACAGTAACGTCGGGGAGTCGCGGGATCGCTGGCACAGTGCCAGCCCCGCGGCTTGAGACCGCCGCCGCACCCATAGGCAAAACCGAGGGGGATAGCCCCACAGGGCCCTCAACCCCTCAAGTTTTCGCTCCATGCTACTCGGCTGCCGCTGCGCCGACGCCTGCTGGCCTCGATCCCCGAACCTCCATAGTAACAGCCCCCTGTCGTAACCTATAGGGCTATGCCCAAGCCTGAGATTAGTGCCCGTAGAGTACCATACGAGACGGTGCCGCACGGCGCTTTGGGCCAACAAAACGGCTGCGTGGCCCCCATTTGCCTGCGCCGGCTTGCTTATATAAGTACCAATCAAAAGAAATATCCTTAATTCCTGCTTAATAAAAAATAAATAAATAATAACAATAAGCAAAACGAGGTCCGGATCGGCCTTACAATCAATATCAGAAAAAGAATCACGCGCGCCTTAAACCTGCGCGCCCACGCACTCGCTATTGTGGTCAACCACCTAGTCAACGCAATTACAGACGCAACCGCGCTTAGCGCGGTATACTTAAACTCTAGATTACAACTATTTTCTGTCACTTGCAAAAACCACGGCGGATACCCTTGTAAGGGTATTCGCACCGACACCGTCTCTGTTGGCGGTGGAGGCACGTAGTCGTAAGGATGGAGTATCACGACTCTAGCACCAAAAACCTCTGCAACCCCCACTGGCCGACGAGAACCCTACTGCTGGAAGCGACGAAGTTGTGCACTGATCTCTTGTGTCCACACTGCTGACTGAGCTCTCGCTTCCCAATCCTCGGGCTCACGATCCTCCTCCACATCCAAGTCGTCGTCCAGAGGGTGGGTGTACTCCTTCGAATGCGCCTGCGCCAAGGTCGTCAGGTGACCCCACGGAAGAGCGCAAGCCCCACTCCGCTCGTTGCATCCAAGTAGTTTGAGATTTGTTACAATCTCAACTAACCGCGCGACCTTCCTGAACCTGAGCTTATTGCGCTTCGCCGTATGGATGCGCTTATGCTCTCTCCAATTCCTCTCAGCAGGAGAGGCGGCGTCCACATATGCATCACACGACCAGAGATCTTCTGCAACTCTAGGAAGCATGCGTCGTGCTTCACCCACCATGACACGCATCTGGCTGTCTCGTCATCCCCAACACAAGCCTCCGCCTCAGCGTCTCTCGTCCCCCTGTCGGTCATGTGCCCGACCCGAGCGTGGAACGATTGTATCTGCTCGCGCACCCGTAAATATGCCTCTCCCGCCCGGTCAACGCCTGTCTACGCTAATAGGAAAGAGTCGCAGTCGGTGACCACCTCGAGGTCCTCGGCTGTCCTAGAGATGGAGTCGTAGTAACGGAGGGAATGTCTGCGGGGGTTGAGAAGGTGCACAGTAGCGTGTGCATGCTCAAGCATATGCATCGTGCGGATCTGCACCGCCTCCACGCACGGTTGCCGCATGTCATTCGGAACCTCGACGACAACCGCCACCTGCCGCACCAACTCCTGTGACCATGAGTACATTATGGACATGATCATGCCACCCGTATCGAATTTCCTCAACAACTAGTGGACTGGGGTCATGACGGCGACGACGTGCACAACGTTGCGCCATAAATCGGCACACCGGATGAGTTGTCGAACCTATAGAGCCTTTGTATGCAACCTCGGATCCCATGGGATCTTGTTCCACTCGTCGTTATGAAGCATGCTCTCCAAGGTATTACACCTAGCGAGAAAACACACAAACATAAAAAAGACGGACGGGAATCGCGGCTCCACGGGGTGCACAAGTGATCGGCGACGACTCTTCGACCTGAAGAGGTGATAAGAAGCACCGTGCGATTTACCAACGTCCGAGCCCGGTATATGGTGTTCGTCACCAAGGGAACCCGTGTCCCCATGTCAGACAACGTCAAGTTGCATAAGTGGGTCGAACATGGGAGCCAAGTGATACGACGGAACAAGGGATCAGCGTCCTTGGCAAGACGCTTTGCGGCCGGCGTATAGTTAGACGCAGCGTCTGTGCAAATAGCCAACACATCCTTAAGAGGGAAAGACCGAAAAATGACCTTCCACCTCCTGAGCACTGCCGTCTCGGCATACGGTGGCGTACATAAGGGAACCACGCTTGCCCACTGCAAGGAAGTTCACTAACGGCCTAGCGTCTCTTGATTGCCTATCCTCTGACAAAATGGTGGCCCCAAATGCACCGCAACTCGCGGCAAACTTCCCTCGCTGATCAACAATACCCGACCCACCAATCTCCTTGAAATACGGATACAAAGCCCGCACTCCACGAGCCATAGCGGCCATCTACTTCTTGTGAGGAAGGCATGACTGCCTCTTGAATGCCACAAGCTGGAGACCGACGACGTATACCCACTGTAGAAATGAGTCCCTGAAACCGGACTGACCATCTGGATCGTACACCTCATCCAATCTCGATTGCCGCTGTCTTTTGCGCGCTTGCGGCACTCCTTCGTCTCCACTCACGACTGTCCTCTTCCCCGCTCGCCCCCGTGCGTCTGCCTCATGCTGGTGTGCGGCCCTACTCCCTCGCGCAGTCGAAACTACCTCCTCTCCCGACAAATCTGGTGCTGTCCCTGTGGCTCCACCCTCCTCTCCGCCCCTCGCCTCTGCTCGCCTAGCCTCCTCGTACAGGAAATCCTGCATCTCATCCACAGGATCACGCTCCTGTGGTCGCAACTCCCTACACCCGTCATTTCTCTCGTCAATGGCCCTTACCCCCCACAATGCTGAATGTGAAGTTCCGTGGTCCTGTGTAGTCTCCCCCAGTCCCTCCGTACACCGTGGGCCCAGAGGCCATCCTGCCCCACATGAAGAGCCGCCCTGTCCCGACCCAACAGCAGCCCCGACAACACAGACGAGGCGAGGGCGAGAATACCGTCGCGGGGACGTGGTCGATGCCGCGCGGCCGCGTTTGAGGCCGCGGACTAGGCCACGCGGCCATGTCTGTGGCCACATCCGCAAACTCTGAAATGTCTCTCTGTCTCTCTCTCTCTCTCTCTCTCTCTCTCTCCCAGCGCGCGGCGAGCGACCACGAACACCTACCAAAAAAAAAAAAAAAAAAGCTAGATAACGAAATATGAAGAAAGAAGAAGAAGAAGAAAGAAGACGACGATTGATTGCTTGCTTCATTGCTTGATTGATCAATCCATCAATCAATCAATCAATCAATCAATCAATCAATCAATCAACCAATCAATTATACCAATCAATCAATCAATCGATCATCAGAATCAATCAATCAATCACACACACACACTTCTGTGTGTGTGTGTGTGTGTGTGTGTGTAAAATAAAAAAAAAATAAAAAAAAATAAATTGTTCGGCAATGCATATTTTGAGGTTCCAGCGGTGGATGCGTTCGATCTAGCTCACCCTATCGATGGAAGTACCGTGAGGCCAGCCTCGACGTTGGAGGCATGACACTGCTCTCTCTTTCTCTCTCTCTCTCTCTCTCACAC